CCCCCCCCCTTGTACTGGCGATCGAACTCACAACCTTGCTCTTGCCAGGCCGGTGCTGTGCTGCTGAGCTAAATCCCCAGCCCTCTATATTTTATTTTTGAGCCAGGGTCTTGCTAAATCTCTAAATTGCCCAGGGTGGGCTCAAACTCACAATCTTTTTGCTCAGCCTCCCAGAGTACTGGGATTACAGGTGTGTACCACACCTGGCTTGATATAATTGCTTAAGTCATGTACAATACAAATAATTTTTCTTGAGATATTTGAGAAGCTATCAATCTGATGACTCATCACTCTTGAATATTTTTGTTTGTATTTTACAAATAGACATCCTTCTATAAAGCGTCAAAACACGAAATCAACATTAATATATACTACCACATAGTCCTCAAGCCTCACTAAAGTTTGCCAGTGTTGCAGAAGGATCCTACTTAACAGCAGTTTTGTTTAGCTCATGTATCTTTATAGTCTTAAGTCTGAAATGGTGCCTTAATCTTCCTTAGACTTCAATCAAGCACTTAACCAGTGAGCTATATCCCAACCCCCAGCTACTCTGACACAAATATCACAGAGAGGCTGTGTCTCATTGCATCCTATCATCCTATCATAATTCCAATCTGTATTTTCACAGATGTTGCTTGTTTTGATCACTGATGTCTTCTAGCCTTCCTCTGTGAAATTCTTTAACTAGTAACCACTTTTGTGGGATACTTTTGAAACTTCTGAATATACTTAACATTCCCTAACAAACTTTCAATTTATTCACTTATATCAGCATGGATTCAGATTTGCATCTTATTCAATGCAATATAATCAATTATTTTCTTCATTTTCCTGCTTACATTGCTCCAGACTTGGTCAGTGGGGAGCCTCTTCAAGCTTGACTGTATATCCTTCTGGACATTTCTCATGTTCTTGAGTCTCTCTTCCCAGTACAATATATATGCAAGTGTGTGTGTCTGTGTATGTATCTACACCTATATTTTCACATCTATCTTTCTATAAGTCAGAAGCCATGAGTTTACTCAAACTTCCTGTTTCAATGTACCACCATAGGGTTCACTTTAGTTTCTCCCTTTCCATAACTTTTTGTTGTTGCTATTGTTCGAAACAAGGTCTCACTATGTGACTCAGGCTGGCCTTAAACTTGGTGCAGTCCTCCTGCCCCAGCCTCTCAAATGCTGGGATTATAGGCATGTGCTAGCACATCCAGCTTTCCTTTCCATAATTTGTATCTCCCTTTACTAACTTTTGCCCTGAATATTTTTATTAATATTTTTCTCCCCCACTTGATATATAACCAGTCTCTCATTACTGTCAGTAACTCCTTCCACACATGAATGCCCGCCGCCCTCTTTACCACATTCAGGTTCTGACTCCTAGTGTTAAAACATCTCTCCTGTGAAGTTCTCTTTCGTCCTGCTCACCCACAGAGATGCCCTCTATACCCTCCATAGGCCCTATCCGCAAATGTATGCCCTTCTTACTCTGCTTGGCTTGTGACCCTCACCACATAGTGCCCATACTTGACTACCTGCCTCTTAGGCTGGAGTTGTAACTCCTGAGCCTTGGACCTACAGACACCTTCCTCACTCTGTTTAGGGCACAATATCCTAAACCAGACTACTTCTCTGCATGGTGATCACCTTGCCCTGTGTATGTCCTAGAAAGCTTTTTCCAATGATAAAAATCACATAATACGACTAAGAAAACAACACAGGAAAATCTCTCATAATCTCACCATCCATAGACATTTGTACACAAAAATACAACGTATATATTTTATAAATTAGTATCACAAATTAAACCTAAAGATAAGATTTTCCTAAACTTTCGAAAACCTTTTAAAGTTATAACCCACCAGTCAGAAAGAGATTAGATGTCCCTAAGCCATTAAGAGTAGTGTACAGAATGTATTCATTATCACCTAAAAATGTACTACTTGTAAGCACTGCAGCTTACAAAAGTACCTAACCAGGGAGCTGGGGCACTGGTTAATCTTGCTTATGACAGACAGATATTATAATACTGTTTTCCTGTTTTTGTTCATTTCAAGTAAGTGGAGTCAAAAGAGCCATTCCATGAATTATAGTGTTATAGGACAGTCTTTTAATAATATTTGTTGCATCTCCTAAATTAAGGATTGTGATTTCAAATAATTAAGTGGGGGACATTTGACAAGTTTATATACCTCCCTAGGGCCTACCAGTGAAAGGGAATTAATTTTAACACTTGACCTGCTAGTATTAGTTTGAAAATACAGATTGAGATTCAACACTCTTGTCTTGGCAAAAGGCTACCACCACAGGTTCCACTTACATAGGCTGTCTTCTATGTTATCTGTCTGAGGAGCAGAGTGGTATTTGCTTGTACTTTTTTTTTTTTCTGGTACTGGGAATTGAACTCACGACCTTGCGCTTACCAGGCAGGTGCTGTACTGCTGAGCTAAATCCCCAGCCCCTTGCTTGTACTTTTCAATGCAAGTAAAAATACTTCAGCCTCAGTAGATGTTCTTTGGATCGGCTAAAACACCATGTTGTTGGACACAATGAAATTTTCCCTTTGGGCTTCTGCATGTGAGGGCTGCCATCCTTCCAAAAAGAAGCAAGTAAATTCCAGGATGACACACTTCTAAATTTTCTAGTCATGGAGATCTATTATTGTTCAATTTCTGTCATATAAGTAACAGAGCACCAACTGGGCCACATCCATCCATCCTTTGAGATTGTTCCACCTATGTGAGTTTAAATTCTGTAAAGTTCTAAGAGTAGTTCTCTAAACCCAGACTCACACTCACTGTTTGTAAAATGAGGATAAGAATTACTATTATCCCACCAAATATTTGAACTCTCATTATGTACTAGCCATTGTGCTAAATATTTTACACGAACTTTCTGATGTAATAATTATAAAATTCATATTATTATCCTCATTTTTCAGGTGAGGAAATGAAAGTTTAGAGGCTTAGTAGGCGTAACATACCAAAAATCACATAGTTAAAAAGGAATGGAGTTTGAATTCAATGTGAGACAGGCTGACTCCAAGCCAGTTATTTTAACTATGTGTCCTATTCACCTAACTCAGTGGTTTTCAAACTTTTTTGGTCTTGGGAACTTTTAACTTTTTTTTTTTTTTTTTTTTTTTTTGAGATTGGGTCTTGCTATATAGTCCAAGCTAGCCTTGAATTTTGGCTTGTCTCGAACTCATAGCAATCTTTCTGCTTCAACCTCCTGAGTGCTGGGATTACATGTGTGTACCACCACATCTGGCAGGACCTCTTTATTGTCATAATTATTGAAGACTCCAAATTACTTTTCTTGGTTGGTTGGTTGGTTGGTTGTTTTGTTTCTTGAGACAGTGTCTCACTATGTAGCACTAGCTGGCCTCGAACTCTTGGTGATCCTCTTGCCTCTGCTTCCTGAGTGTAGGGATTATAGGTGTGCACCACCACAGCTTTTTTGTTTGTTTCTTATGGTACTAGGGATTGAACTCAGAACCTAGTACATGGTAGGCAAGTGCTCTGCCACTAACCTATACACCCAATTCAAAAGTATTTTTCTTTATGCGGGTTATATCTATTAGAATTTACTATAACAGAAAATTTTAAACTATGAAAAATTTAAAATATTTATTAAATCACTAAAGAATAAAAATAATAAATTCATTATTTTTATCATAAAAACATATATGAAAGAGAACAATGAAGGACTGAGAATTTAAGTTTTCTTTGATACTACACTAAAACTCAAAAATAGCAGTTTCTTAAAGATTAGTTACAATGTAAAATCTGAAAACAGATCAATCAACTTTCTGTGTTGTTATATCAAAATGTATTGGTCTATCTTGCATTCTGAATGAATCTTTTTATGCACGAATGATCTCATAACATCATCTGTTCCATCTGAAAAATATGAGTTCACTGACTTAAGTCTTCCACATAGCAACACAATAAATTATACAATATTTATTTTTAAAATTATATTCACTAAAAATCACATTCACCTCAGCAGAAAAGTCTAAGTATGTGAAAGCTGTCAAGATCATGTTGCAGGGCACCAACAAATGGAAGGAAAAGGGAAGCAGGGGGGCAAGGGCATGAAAAAGGAGTTAAGCTGTGTTATATACATGTACCGACTCCCCACGAGAAATGTAATCATTAAGTACTAATAAAAACATTGAGGAAAAAAGATCATGTTGGCATAAACAAGTTTTCCAAATTCTTCTTCTCTTTTTTTCTTTTTTTTTTTTTTTTTAAAGTGCCAGCATCTCCCTGTGCTGCCCAGTCTGGCTCCTAAATCCTGAACTCAAGCAATCCTACCTTTGCCTTTAGAGTAGCGGGGACTAGAGGTATGCACCACCATGCCAGGCTAAAATTCTAATTTTTACTTGAAAGTCTGAATTTTGTCATTAGCAACAATTTTTTTTTTCAAAACAGTACTGGATCTTTGATGTGTTATGTACATGTATCAACTGCCCATGAGGAATGTAATCATGATGTACGGCAAACATGTACTAATAGAAAAGAAAAGAATAATCAGTTTGTCAGTTGTTTTTTCAAGAAGAAATGTTATATTAAAAAGATGGTTCAGCCCATAATTCAATCACACAAGTGATTTCCTCAGCTATTATATTTGACTACACAGTAGAAATGCTTTATGCGTAGTTCTCATTTAATTACAGACTATTAAATTGAACTACATGCAAGGTTTAATAAAATTAACACTTTTTATTATTTTATTAAGATTATTAAGTGAAATGGTATTTATACATGATGCAAGCATGTACACAGTACTCTGAATCCAGGGCTTTACATATGCTAGGCAATTGCTCTACCACGGAGCTACATCCCTAGCCCTTTTTTTAAAATTTTATTTTGAGACACGATCTTGATAAATTTCCCAGGATGGTTTTCCACTTACCTCAGCCTCCTGAGTAGCTGAGATTATAGGCAGTGCCACCATACCAATTTTTTTTAACTGTATTGCATGTTGGTAAAGAATAAAATGACTAGTACAGTTTGGTGCAACTGCCTTCATTAAAAGATTATACTAATAATTATTTTAAATTATTATAATATAAAAAGAATATTCTACAAGCATAACATCTAACCTGTAAAATTATTTTGATTTTTCAGTATTTGCTTCTATATGTATATGTGTAAGTTTTTAGAATCATAACCAGAATATAAAGTATTAAAAATACACTCAAAGACAATGCAACATTTTTAAGTTACAATCATTAACAAGTTGAAAGTGGTATATTTAGTGATTTCTGACTTCAGTTCACTGGAATGCATAATCCCAAACTTGAAAAGCAAACCCTTGCAATTCTCTTTAGAAGTAAGTATGACTTGGGCTATCCTGCTTCTTCACAATAACCTACCCTACACTGTAGGGTGTATTTTTACTTTTTATTTTTTCCTCCCTTTTTACTCGGCCCACACTTACTCTGCAGAGCCGCTTCTTCCCCAACCGTCTGTTTTTTTCTTACCTTTAATAAATATGAAGCTTTGCCACCATTAAAAGAAAAAAAGTAGTGTGACCCCATAAGAGTTGGGCAACGCTCCTCAGACTACTGCCATGTATGTTATAAAGTCCTTATTATGGTTTTAATGACAGAAGTGTCTAAATTTAGAGGGGCAATAAGTCACTTAAGAACTGGGACACCTTGATTTAAAGCTCTCTCCTGGAAGCATCCCAATCTGTGCAAACCCCTGGAATCACCCCAAGGAGAACAATGGGGCTGAATGAGTAAGAAGAGTACTTGGTAGTGTGACAGCAGCCTACAGCACCACACTTTGGATTTCTCTTTAAGCAGTGCAACCCTTTAAAACTTGGTCACCTAACTCATGCTAACATAACTCAGGACACTCATTTAAGGCCAAGATCAGACTTTCATGTTAAAATGTAAAATTTAACTATAGCAAGTCATCCATGTAACAGTGGATGTATGCCAGGCAGAAACACAAGTTTTTATGGCATTTTAATATTTGCTAACATTTAGTGAATTTTTATGATATGAAAGAAACTATGATATATTTTTTTTCATACACATAGCCTTTTGTAAATTTAGCAACCACTGTTTCTTCTGAGGCAGTAACCTTCATCACACACATAAGAAGGCCGAAGTGCAGAGATTTTAAGTAAATTACCTAAGGTCTTAAGACCAGGACAAAGCAGAGGCAACATTTCAGTGTAGCTCAGACTAATTTATTAGCCCTTATTCTTGATTACTGTTATGACCCCCACACACACACTGGTAGCAACAATTTTCATTTCTGAAAAAGCAGTATAATCAATAAGGTCTTTTAAAAATATGTTCAAGGGTTTCATGGGCCCTCTAAAATCTATCCCGAGTTAAAAACTCTTGCTTCTAAGAATCTCAAAGCCTTTACTATAGTGTAATAAGTTTAAAACCTGAGAAAAGGTAAGACAATAATAATAGCTGCCATTTATCAAGCACCTACTATGTGCCAGTCCTGTGCTAAGTGCTTTACATCTATTGTTTCATTTAGTTTCATCCTACAGTGCAATGCCCATTACTCTAATGAGGAAAGGGAAGTTCAGCAAAATGCAGCGACTTGCCATGGTCAAATAGTACAGGGAAATGTTGGTTCTTTGTAAGGCATCATGCTCCCTCTTAGGCAAATACTGAGTCAGTAGCAACTCAAGGGTTTAAACTTATTGCCAAAATAAATGTAATAAATCCCAGAAACATAATCACCTGTATGATTTATGCAGTTCCATGACCTTTTCTTCAAGTTCCTTGGTCTGATTCGGGGCCAGTTTAAAATCACTAACATAATCCACGCCATGGAGTTCTGGGTCATAGTCTCCAAGCTCAGACTGGATGGTGTAAGAACCTAGTAATGCTAAGGTTGCAAAGGAACAGGGGAGACGTCCTGCAACGATGTCCTGCCGAAGCTGAAGACATAAATAGTATCTGAAGCAAAAAAAAAAAAAAGATGTTGACATGTTAGCAACAACAACAAATCAAAGAAATAAAAAGGAAGAAAAGGAAAACGAGAAATGATTTTTAAAATGAAAAAAGAGGGCCAGGGATATCGCTCAGCAGCACAAGCGTCTGCCTGGCAAGCAGGTGCAAGGTCCTGAGTTCAATTCCCAGTACCAAAAAAAAAAAAAAAAAAAAAAAGGAAAAAAAGAGTAAAACATTAATTGTTCAATCTAGGTGATAGGCATATGGTCACTCATCACATTATTATTTCTTCCTTCTCTGTGTTTGAAATTTTCCCATCCAAAACAAAAACAAATACTGTAACTATGTTGAACTCGTAGCTGGAAAGCAGTTTAGAAAGAAAAGCTGGAAAACTCCAAACAAGAAGAATCTTAAACTTCTTTAAAACATAAGTAATTAGCAAAGATTTTTAGGGATGTGATTTTTTTATACAAAGTAAACCTAGATGAAGAAAGATGAGCAAGTAGCAACTTTAACAGACAATTATTACCTGTGAAAAGGAAATAAACAATTTTCTCAGGGTGATACACAGAATTTCAACTTCACAAATGTACTAAGTATGAATGGACAACGAAGTAATCTTTTAAATAGTATAAACTTTTCAAAGAATTGAATAATCAGATTTTTGGTTGTGTCGGAGACACAGTCCTGCTAAGTAGCCCACCCTCAGCCTCCTGGGTACTGGGATTACATGAGTTCACCACTACACTCAGCAAGTCAGACTTTTGAAAGTTTATTTTATTTCCTTACTTAACATGCATGAAAACTGAGGCTTAGAGACTGTAAATTTGCCTGTAATCAGATAATTGGCAATAAAATCAGAATTAGAAAAACAGTTTCTTGGCAACCAATGATTTAATTTAACAGACATCTGCCAAGCACCGACTAGATACAAGTCTCCATGCAAGAGGTTATGGATATAAATACATGTAATAGTATTCTTTACAATATATTGCTTTTCCATTTTTAAAACTTTTTTTTAATAAAAAGTCCTTTCCTTAAAGGATTCAGTAGGTTGTTTTTAAAGAATTACTTGTAAGTCAAATAGGCTCAAAGAAGACTCAATTCATGAGGATCATGTACCTAACCATACAGTTTAAGAGGAAGATATAGCTGGCTTGGCGGCATATACCTGAAATCCCAGCACTCTGAGAGGCTGAGGTAGAAGAACTGCAAACATGAGCCTAGCCTGGGCAACTTAGCAACTGAGTGAGACCCTGTCTCAAAAAATAAAAAGGGTTGGGAAGGTAAATCAGTGTGAAGGTCCTGATTTCAATCCCCAGTACTGCAAAAGGAGGAGGAAGAAGAGGAGGAGATAGAAATAATAATAACCCTGAGATTTTTGGCTGTTTTGATCTCTAGAAAAAGAAATGTAGTGAGAAAGAAGGAAGAAAAAAACCAAAACAAAACCTGGAGAGCCATTTACCACTACACAGCCCTCTGGGAGGATGATATGGTTTTGAGGAGCCCGGACTGCTGCTTGGCATGAGATGAATGATAAGCCTCGTTCCCCTATCGGTTTCCCCCAGGCAGGTCAGATAGTTGAGACTTGTAGACTCATTTATTTGCAAGACTGCTTTGAAGGGACCAGAAGTTTTTCTATCTTAGGCTGATCGTTTAATAGCTCATCATTATTTTTCCATTTTGAATAGGGAAATTCCAAGAGCTTACAATGATGAGAGTTACTACCATATATGTAACTAATGATTGATTATTTACCTGGTTATGTCTTCTGTTAACTGTGCTGGATCAGGTGGATAAAACTTTACGTTAAATGTGAAATTCCAAGGGATGCCTATAAAAATAAAAGATTTTATAGTTATGCCTAAGTTTTTGATTGTTAGAAGTATCTTGAAATATTCAAAATTTGTTTTTTTCTGAAATCTTTTGACATGGTTATGCACTGTGGTTGAGTTTTTTTGTTATTTTAAAGAAAGTTGCTAAGATACTACTTAGGAGAGCTATAGGATCTCTCTCTGTATGTCTTTTACCTGACTTAATAGTTTAGTTAATAAGAGATTAATAGTTAATAGTTTAGTTAGTAAGGGCTCAGAATGACTCTGGCATTCCTTCCCTATAAGGAAAAGCACAGGTTAATTTGTGTACAGCATTGGTTTTCAAAATGTGATCTATATATTGCTCTGGGTCCTTAGGTTGTTAGATTTGAGGTCATTCAGGTGACCAATGGATGTTCTCTTTTTGGTTTTGGCATTAACTTTGTGTCATCTATCAATGGTACCTCAAATAAACAAAAACATTCTTCTCATTAATATGACTGAGACTAGGTTATTTCAGAAATAAGAAAGAATTAAAATACTATTGTTAAGTGTTCAATCCTGAGACTCATATATTTTGTGTTATTTTTTTATTTACAATGAAAACCAGAGATTATGCATAATGCTTAAATGGAGGATGCAGTTCGTTTTTTCTGAGCTGAGTGCTACCCTTCAGGGTTTTTTCTAGCATGACTGTTGGCTTCCCAAGAGTAAGACTTGATCTCCGCCAGAAATAAGAATGATTGGTCACGATGCTAAAGTTGCCATTCTGTTCAGTACTTACTTCATGCCAGGCACTAAGCCAGCCCTCCTAGATACACTAACTCAATTAATCCCCACAGAAATCCAAGGAAGTAGGTGATGGTATTTATTAATTCACCTTATATATGAAGAAACAGTTACTTAGGAAAGTACACAGCCAGTGAACCAGGGTTCTCTTACTCTAAATTGCATGCTTTTAACTAGAGCTCTATTATCCTACTACAAACATTTATACATCAAATATCATTCTGTATTTTAACCCCAAACATCACTTTTATTGCTAAGAGCTAACAATGACAATATTTGAAGTAGTTTGAATGTCTTACTGAATGTATTTTTAATGTGTACTAAAATATTTAATATAGAATTCCCTTAGAAATAGTATTTTCCTTCGACATATGAACTAAAAGGTAAATTCCATATAGTATCGTGAGGTCTAAAAGCCTAGACAGATACTAATAGTTATCATTAACCTATTTTTAATGTTTCATATCTAAAAACTTGAAATGGCATGTAGCAAAACAAAACCCGTAACTGTTTCTTATGAGGGAAGTAGAGCAACATTTACAGTATATAGCATAAACCAAAAAATACCAACTGTAGTGTCACTTTCTGATATGATCAAATCATCTCAATTAGCCACTGCTAATTCATATCCCCACACAGACTTTTTAAAAAGTCCTCTATATTACCTAAAAAATATATTGGGTAGAATAAAATATGGAAATGAACACAGTCAAAGAATGTTTAATATATGTGATTTTATGAAGAACTTTAAACATAAATTTAGTTGTAACAAAAATAGCCATATTAATTGCATAAAAATAACATTAAGGAAATTAAATTGTTTACAAAATGTGATTTTCTTTTTTGTTGTTGTTTTTTAATTCTATGTTAAGTAACTGATAGAGAAAGCTTGATAACATCTAGTACTGTTGAGGAAAGTAAGTATTTTCATCTATTGCTGGTAGGAGTGTAAAGTGGTACACTATGGAGAACAAAAGTGACATGTATGTATCTTTTCATCTTGCAATTCTATTTTCATTAATGTATCTAAACATATTTGAATATAGCCAAAATGCTATGCTTGCAAGAATTTTTGTAAGAGTGAAATCCTAGAAACAACCTAAATATATTTAGCAAGAAAAAACATTAAATTATGGGCCAGCTAAATGTTACAAAACTAGGCAACCATTAAAAAAAAGAAGTAGCTCTATATGGAATAATTTCCAAAAAACAGAGTCAAGCGAGAAAAAAAAAGAGAACAGTATAAATAGAAAGGTATGTGTGAGTTAGGGGTAGAAAAAAGTATTAATTACAGGTATGATTAACTATGCTAGAATATCTCTGCAAGGAAAACTATGAAGTGAAGATTGGAGAGAGAAATCAGGAAGCTTAGGGAAAACTGAGAGCTGTGAGACCTCCTTTCACTACATACATTTTCACGCACTTGAGGTTTGCATTGTGCACATTTACTACTCCTTTGTATATACTTTTAAAAAAAAAGGATCATATTTTCCCACTAAAATTCAAATTCCCAAGGTCAAGAACTTAGCCTAAAACAACGCTTGGCACATGATGAGTGCTCAAAAAATATTCACTGAGTGAAGGAAATAAAGTAACTGATCTCAATTATTGTTGATAAGGTGATATGAGAATGCTAAATCTTTTTAATGAGAATGCTAAATCTTTGGGGAAATTTTTTCTAAAAAAAGATTGCACAAAAGGATAATACATACTAGTATATTAAAATTATTTATCTACCCATTATCCCAGATACCCCAATGAGCTCAAATTACTAGATTGAATGAAATGAAAACATCAATACAACTATATTCTATTTGATTTTTCTTTTTATTCAGCACAAAATAAGGAAGTTTAACTGTTTCAGACATGACCATAACTAAGTGGAAATCTTTCAAATATTAATACTTTTACTTGTGTTAAGAGCGGTCAGAAAAAGAGGAACTCAAACTCTTGGTTTCTTTTCTTTTCCACACAACAGTCACAAGTTTCTGATACTAGTAAGAAATTGTCCAGTTTCCTTATAAGCAAATTTAGCATTAAATACAACAGAGATTAAAAAAGAAAAAAAAAGAACATTTACAACCAGGTGTGGTTGCACAGGCCTGTAATCCCAGCCCTCTGGAAGACTGAGGTAGGAGAATAGCAAGCTCAAGCCCAGCTTGGGTAACTCAGTGACTTAGTGACATTTTTTCTTTTTTAGTTCAAGAATATTTTATATTTTCAAAATATTTAGGAGTAGTTTAATCAGAAAAATAAAGGCAATGAGATTATCACATTCTAAAAGTACTTATGAATTAAACCACGCCCCCTCTTAAAAAACAAATAAAACCTTAAATCACATCCTATTAAGCCTTCTTAAAGAATAAAACCAAACTCTGCTGAACTGCAAAAACCTGAAATTCTGAGCATGAAAATAATTTACTGATTCGACGTTTGATTTATTCAAGCATTAGGCCTACTGAATGCAGCTATGGAGTAGGAAAAACCAGGGACAGTTTATGCATTCTGTATGACAGCCTCACCCTAAAACATACATGTGTGGTTGATGTGGATCAACTTTTTAATAAAAGGTCATGAGAAACTTTGTGTACACTGAAGTTGGCAAGTATCATTAGTGACACGACTTTCAAAAACATTCTTAGGCACAATAGCACTGCCTGCAGTGACAGTCTTTGATAATCAAAGAAAAGACTTCCATTAAATATAATCTTACAAATAACAAGAATATATGCACGTTTGTCAGTGGATTGCTTTATATAGTGGAGAAAATGTCACAATGATTTAAATTACCTAAATTATCTATAAATTACCTTTAACTGACATCAACTTTTGATGGATAACCAAATATTAAAAGTCTGACAAAAGTAAAATCCATTTAACCTAAATATAATTTAGGGAAGAAATGCAGGACTAGTCATATGGAAAAATAGCAGCACTTCTTTAGCTAACTCAGTAAAAAAATGCCAATTGAACATTTTCAGTCAAATTTTATTTTTAAAAAAGCAGCAGATCAACATTACAATTCAAGAATCTAAGTACGCACTTGACAGTGAAGTACATCTGAGTATGGAGTGAAAAGGTTTTCCAAAAAACCATCAAACACATTATCTCCAAATACCCAAATAATAAAATGCTTCTGTAAACCTTGTGTTAAGTGGAATCATAAAGAATTCAAAGTTTATTGCTAGGAAAACAAATTTGTAATACAGTAGTATGAACCTTGGGTATTAAGTATAATCTGTTGAATCAAGTTAAGAAGTTGATGTGGCAAGAAATTTGTGGGGTGTGTGTGTGTGCACATATGTGTGTGTGTGTGTGTGTGCAAGAGAGACACTGAGACTGAGACTGAGACTGAGACTGAGACAGACTGAGACTATAAACCAGTTGACCCAAGAGCAAATTTAGCATTAAATGCAATGGGGATTTAAAAAACAACAACAACAACAACAACAACAACAGATCATTTACAGCCAGTTGTGTTGCACACACCTGTAATCCCAGCACCACCTTGGGCAACTCAGTGACTTAGTAAGACTTTGTCTCAAAAAAAAAAAAAAAAAAGGTTGAGGGGGCTTAGTGTGAAGGATCTAGGTTCAATCCCCAGTACCACAACAAACAAACAAACAAACAAAAAATTCTTTGATTTTGGAAAGAGGAATATCAAGGTAGAGTAATGACAAGAGAGTTTTCCAGATCAATCATGGTCACAGGACGAAGACTAGAACCTGGCTGCTTGGTGCTCAGTTC